CCACTCGTGACTCAGGTGGGGGCTGCACCTTGTTGGATGAAATGGGTCCTCTCCGGTATAAAGCACCTTGAGATTGAATTTAAATTTGAGGAATCTATTGAAATAGAGTTGAAAGTATGCTGTGAGCCTCGCTGGCGATTCTTACTAAAGATTGATGCTCCTCTGCTTCCCCCTGCAGGTCCCACTGGTACTACAGCTCTTTGATACACTCCATGCCCTCTGTAACCTGCTGGTGGTGGCCCCCGATAACCTAAAGCAGGTGTGCTCCGGAGAGCAGCTCACTAACCTGGATCGTAACCTGCTGCATGCCTTTGTCCAGCTGAGAGCGGACTACCGCTCGTCCAGGCTCGGCCGCCACTTCAGCTAACTGGCACCAGACTGAGACTGGCATGGCTACGGGGTGCCTCAAGCCAGTGGCATTAGCAATGAATCACTGTACCCTTCAAGACATGAGAACCAAACAGCAGGCTCCCTCGGTTGACCTGCTGTGAGCCAATCCCCGCGTCCTTCCCAGTAACAGACAAGAAATAAAGACTGCCCTTTAGTTCTTAGAGTTTTCTTGCTGCTGGTTCATCTTAATGAGCAAATGCACTTTCATGGTGTTCAGTCAGGTAATAGGCCCTACATCAGTGCATAGCTGTACAATCAAAGCTAATCCACCTCACTACACAGAGCAGTATCCCCGGAGCTATCTAGTGCACACTCCTGTCGGGTAACGCATTTACTTGTTCAAAGTCATCACTCTTCCCATCTGAGAAGGCTCTTTCGCCAACGCACACCAGAACTGTCGCTAAACCCAGTAATACCACAGTATATCCAGAGGCAACTTGTTTCCACTTTATCATCCATGTAAAATAAGGCCACTTGGTTGCTTAATGAAAACAACAACTTTTTAACCCAGTCGGGGCTACAAGAGTCTCTTTTGTTGGCAGGGTCTGGTAAAATCCATAAAAAAACCTTTGTTCCTTTATCTCAGGTTAACTTCTCAAGCCAAACCGCTGAAACTACAGCAGCTCAGTGTTACGGCGGCGTGATTCCATGTGAGCGCATGGGCCTTTCCTTTGACAGTGCCAGCTGGAAGGCTATTCTGGGTGGGCCGTGGGATCTAGACATATTCAATTCCAAGGCCTACACTTGTGCATAACTGCAGGTGCCTGTAGTGTTATCACGTGGGAAAGATTGCTGCAACACAAGAGTGGAAGCCTTCAGAACTGAGAAAGTCATCGGAAGTTTTAGTCAAGTGACAGGCCATAGATAAGTACTTTTAGGAAGGGCTGCCCGCCTTTGCACTCCTCCAGGTGGCTGTGTAGACAGGTTTGGGGACACGCTTCTCTTGGCGCGGGACAGAGCGACAGGATGTGGCGCTGGGAGAAAAGCCCACCTCTAAGCCCTCGCTTTTTAGTCCACGACAGCAGAAAATGATCAAACCACTCCACTGAGAACGCGATCTTCTAGGACATGGGTCTGGAGAATTTGTGCACTTTTATTTTGATCTGTGTTGACTGCAATACCACCTTTTTAACTTGATTTTATGTGCTTTTATTTTTATTTTAAAGAACTGGTTCAAGCTGGGTGATTCTTGGCACCTTCTGTCCTGTACGTAAGCAGTGTAAAGTTTTCTTTTGTTCCGAACAGTTCTTTTAAAATAAAATGCCATAGTTATATTAAATGTACAGTACAGGAATGTCTGAGTTAGTCAAACTCACTTCTTTTGTTACAGTGCCAAAATCAACCATTGTGCATTGTGGCTGTGCCAGCACTACTGCATCTTAATACACAGGCAACAGTAGCGAAGGGGTTTTATGGCATAGGTTGGGGCCATACAGGCATCTGAAGTACTGCTTGCTGATTCTGTAAGCCCACCCTGATGGGGATAACCCTTTTCTCCTTTGGAGAATGGGCACAAACGTGCAGCAGCTGATGCTGGTGACCACAATAGTATCCTCCCATTCCTAGGCCAAAGGCACAGATGGACACATGACAAGTGCTCTGTCCTCTGACCTTGAAAGGTCAGGGTGTGACTCATGAGTGACATGAGTTTGGCGCTCTCAATGCAAGATCAGCGTTCTGTGCCCTAATTGTATGTGACACCAGTTTTGATGGCAGTCATCTTTAAATGCCTGGAATAGTTAATCCTATATGTCAGGGGACTCTCTCTCTTCCTGCATTCAGAAGTAGGAGAAACTGCTTGTTGCGACACATTGATACACATTCATACCAAGGTTAAAGAACTCTACATTGATGCAGTGCACACATTTCAGCATTAGTCTTCACTCACTTGTAGTACAGTACGCTGATATCAATACCTTTGGTTACTGAAGAGTGAAGTGTAAGTACCGTAAAAAAAGACCAGTTTATTTCAGGTTCTGTGGAATCGGAAGACTGGCGAGCTCTCAAGGTTGACTCCAGTGTTGCAAGTGTCCAGCACATATTTCCCAATAGGCCTAGAGGCAGAAACCAGCCAAGCTCCTTGTTACAACTGAAACACTAGATCTGTGTCTCTCTAACCACCAGGTTAATCCTTGCTGACAGAGGAGGGTGGAAATCTGAGTGGAGAGTGATGGTTTATAATTTGTACATGCTTTATTTCAACAAGACACTTGAAAGCTGTCCTGTCCTCTGCCCCCCACGATTTTGCCTCTGTACAGCTGTTTGCATTTATTACTAATAATAAAATATCTAATGTTGTGTTAAAATCTGTTCCAGTTCTTTCTGTCTTAGAGAGATGGTTTCGACAACATATTCTTAGTGTAGTTTTCTTTGAGATTGGAGTTTAGAAATAGTTACAGCTGTTGGGATGTTATTTTTAAGTCATGTCTGGAACCGTAAGAATACAGAGCTCAGAAATGGGGGGGGAAAAATGGAACATTCTGGCCCTAAAAATGTGAAAAAGATGAAAGATGAAAAGGGGATAAAATTCTGAAGTTGAACGCATCTCCTCAGGAATGTTCTCATTCTCAAATCATATTTCATAAGAACATAACGTTTGCAAATACGAGGAGGACATTTTGACCAACTCGGCCTTTTGCTTGCTAGTAGCTGATTGATCCGGGGGTCTTATCCAGCTGTTTCTTGAAAGAAGTCGGGTATCGGCTTCTCCGACATGGCTGGATAGCATGTTCTACACTTCACAACCCTTTCGGTACAGAATTGCCTCCGGCTCTCAGTTTCCATCTGTCTTCTGGTTCCCTTCTGAGCATGTCAGATGCCGCTCGCTCTTCGTTGGGTTAACGAGCGACATGTTTTCAGAATGTGGTGACGATGGTGAGTATTCTACTAGATACCGGTGCATGTTACTAATGTTACTGTTGCATCTTAATGTGACTTAATTTAAATTCCACAAATTTAATTATGTATTCTAATATTTTGTTTGCCGTTTTTCTTGGTACAAAGTGAAGCTTAGTATAAGAGGCTACACGAAGGACGTCTGGATTCTGGCCTATATGTACTGTTAGTGGCTATGTGTGGACCGTGCGCACCCTCTCTGACTACTGAGAAGTGTCAAGATAGGACTGAGCTCAACACAAATGGTTTGCAGTGTAAGCTGAAATGACAGTCTTACCCTTACCTTGTTATATGAAACAAGAGTGGCAAACGTCTAAGATTGTCTGTTGTGGGAGCTTCTCTAGTTTCCGAGCTATGAATCTATCCTCCCAGATATTGATGGGTTTTCCAATACATGTGTCGAAGTGATGTGATCTTGTAACTAAGTAGTCTTTAATATGTATGTAAAAATCCTCTAGTTTGCGTTACTCTGCAGTAAAAGGCACACGGGCCAGTGAGAGAGAGAGATGTAAGGTACGTTCCAGCACTTGAACACATGGTGTGTAGTGTTCTGTAGAAGGTACACAGGACGCAGAGCAAAGTCAAACAATATAATTAATTAGTCTAATATTAATATTATTAATGCCGCTGAATTCAATTCTCTCATCCCTAATCACAACCGTATAGCTTGTAAAAACTATTTTCTTAGGCTCGGGCGCAAACATCGCCGCTTTCCAAACATTTGAAAACTATTTGTTTTTGTGGCGATTAAAGCGGGCCGCCTCTGAGCGCGAGCTGGGAGGGAGCGGGGGGGTTCTGGTGGATGAGGCAGGCGCTATGCGCAGCTGATAACGCCGAGAGAGACGGCCCCCAGGGGCTGCGGTGCAGATTGTGTGGAGCCCTGCGGGTCTCGGAGCCGCGAGCGACACGGGGATTGTTTGGGGTGTATTTGAGCAGGTGGAGGGGATTAGCAGCACTGTCAATACTGGGGCGCAGGATAAGGCTGGCTCCCTTGGTTGCAGTGTATGGAGTGTCTCTCTCTCTCTCTCTCCCTCCCTTTCTCTCTCCGTGTTTCTCCAGCACTGCCACACAAACACACACAGCCTGTCTGTCTGAAGAGTCAGAAAGTAGCCGGCCTGCTGAGATAGTACTGTTTGAACTGCTGCTGTCCTGTGCAGAACCTTCACAAAGAGCAGGCAGAGGGAAAAGCCTTTCTTTCCACCCCTCTGCTCTTCTCCGATTGCTGAAAACCAACAACTTAATTAAGATCCTCATGTTCTTACAAGTTAGAAGACTTCCACTGCCCAGGTTACCAGAACTGCAATAATCATACTGTAGGTCTGTTCTCAAAAATGAAAAAAACACTAGCTCATTCCAAGGCTTTAACCTTCTGTCTACCTAAGCATTACTCCATCTGAAGAACATAATGCTTAGAAATTATAGTGCATCGTGTTTGGTTGCTAGTAGTCCATTGATCCAAGGATTCCATCCAGCTGTCTCTTAAAACAGGTCAGAGCCTCAGCTGGAACAATGTCAGGATACTCCCATAATCCCATGTGTGAAGAAGTCTCTCCTGTTCCCCAGCTAGAATGCCCTTCTCTGGAGTTTCCACTTGTTTCCTCTGGTTCGTCTTACACTGCTAATTCTGAAGTCATCCGCTGGGTCAACTCTGTCAAAGCCTTTGATAATTGTGAATACGTACGTTGGGTCATAGTATTCTCTGTTCAAGAATTATATACATCTTCACTGTAACAACACACACTAGTTCAGCTTGTTTTCTGCATTATTTATTACAGAATATATGAGACCTATTCCTAATGAGAACTGAAGAAGTCCCCCAATCTGGGGAGCACTTAGCTAACAACAATCTAACAGGTGTACTAAGAACACTCATTACCCTCCTCCCTTTTTAGACATATCTGAAACTAACAGCCATGCTTATTTCCTACACCTACAGTTTAACCTGCAACCGTATCTTTATTATTGGGCCGAGTTGGAGTGAAAGAAAGACACCCAAGCCCATAACATCAAAAAGGCAAATATTACTAAATTATCAATTTGTCTAAGTATGTTTCATAGATGGGGACTGAGTATTTTGTTTTGTTGTATGTGATTATTTAAATAGTCATAAGCTACTTCATATTAAACCTCTGTTGCAAGTATAAGCTACCTTGTACTGCTGTCAGATAAGACAGGTTTTGTTTCCAAGAGACCGAAGAACTGTACTGCTGGAAATAAAAACAGAAATCCCATATCCCTGACTGGCAAAAATGGAGTTAAAATATTTGTACTTTTTGAGGGTTGAAGGGGAGCTGGCTGTTCTCTCTTCAATAAGAGATACACAGCTTAAGAGGCACTTTTCACAGTCCCCGGGGCTCGACCCAGCCGACCCCAGAAAGGCTAAATCCCTCAGCGCCCGTCCACACTGAGCCCCTGCCCAGCTCCCTGTTTACCCCAGCACCATGGCAACCCAGGCCATTTTTAATTAACTCCCCCCCTCAGAACACTAGCTTTCTCCCAAAGCACCAGCCTCCACTATGGTTAAACTGCACACCGGGCAGAAGGCGCAGAGTTCCCTGCAGCGTGTTCAGGGCCAGACTTGAAACGGAGAAGAAGACATTAAAACTTTTTTTCTAAATGCTTCACTCCGGCATTTTCTCCATTGTCCTAATCCCTGTGTGCGTTGTCCTTTTCTTCCGTCGGAACCTCGCGTTACGCACTCGATTAAACTGACGAGCGAACTGTGCCGCCGCACGGCTGACCTAGACTTTTTTTTCCTCTCTTTACATCTCTCCTTTGTTTAAGATGTTTGATGGGGCCGAAACAGAAATTGAAATTCAAATTGAAATCCTGGCCCGCTCTCTTTCCCTTGCTTTTCTCACTTTGGAAATTCTTTTGAACTAAGCAGTTGAGCCTTGCAGATTAGGTAATGCACTCCTTGCTTCCTCCAAGCTCATCGGTGTCCCTCTCTCCAGTCTCTCGCTTCTCACCACACTGCCCTCTCTCAGTTCTCTGAGCTTAACCTCCTCTTCTGCCTGCTCTCTGAAGTCTTATCATTTACTCGTCGTCTCCTGCCCTTGAACTGCACGGATCACTCCAACTCCCTCTCTAATCCCTAGCCTTTACACACCTAGTCTGTGTTGCTTCCCAGCCTTTCGCTGCTCAGCTCAAAGCAACAGCCCGGCAGTATCATCCAGGTCCCTCCACCCTGAACACTAGCCTCCTCTGCCTCCCAGAGCACTGACAATAAGGTATTACAGCAGTCAATCCATGTCAACAGCAGCTTTGCCTAATTCCTGCTAAACACATTTAAGCTAAATCTTCATTTAATGATGTATAATGATTAGTACTTGCTCTTTATTCTGTCAACGGCTTGCATTCATTAATTTATTTTCTTGGCACCAGAGGAGCAAGCTCAGGTACAGCTGAAAATTGTGTGTGGAGCGAGAGAGGCAGACTGTTAAGGAACCCACATGTTACACATCAGCGTTGGACAACTCTGAAGAAGAATGGCCCCTTTCATGCAGAGCCACAGAGCACTGTGATTATAGCAACTGTGCACATTGCACGGGGAATGCAGTCAGTGCTTTTCTTAACTTAGAATTACCTGGTTTTCTTTCTGTGCCTCCTATCCCCAGCCTCTGATCACCAGTGCGTATGCAACTCAGCTCAGTGCCACAGCCTTCTCTCTTACTAGCAAAAGAGAGAATGAAATGATGCAAGTGCATCGTCCCGAAAGAAGTCACTCACCAGATCTGCCACTGCTCTTTCGCTCTGTAAGAGCACAGGACCAGGGAGCTGGGAGAATTTGACGAGGTGAGGTGAGTGCCTAGCAAAAATACCACGGGTTCACGTAAGCTCAGGGACACTTGTGCATCATCTGTTCGGGAATCAAAGTCAAAGACACCTAGTGAGATGTTCTAGGTACAGAACAGTGCAGTATAAAACCAGACCTGCCCTACGGATATGTGCTTCTACTATTTCAGCCAGAAGAGATTCCTCTCTTTCTAAAGATGCAGAAAAATGTAGGAATTTGTATGTGGAGCTGAGTGTCCAGAAGATGCAAATACAACCACACTGAGTTAGCCTGTAACAAAAATATGAATTCTAAGATCAGTCACATTTTGCATGGTACAGTTTGTGCTCTCCTCAGCTATTTTCAGATACGTATGATTTTTTTTCTGTAAATGTTTCTTCTGTACAAAGTGACACCTCAATCAGTTTTTTGAATGTGTGGTTTAGGAGTACGAGGACAGACTGCTGGGCTCTTCCCATTTCATTTGCACGCAGCTCATGGAGAGAACCTAACTCAGCCCATGTCTGCATTACACAGGATGCCAGTGCAGAAACAAGTGTCCACTCACTCAGTGTGTCTAGCTGTGTCAGTGGAGCTGGGTCAAAAGGTACTGTTCAATGGCTAGGATGTTCAAGT